TGTCAAAAATCTCTTTCCTGGGGCTGGAGAGATAGCTCAGCGGGTAGGGTGTTTGCCTTGTACCCGGGTTCTATTCCCAGCATCCCATATGGTCCCTTGAGCACCGCCAGGAGTAACTCCTGAGTGCAGAGCCAAAAGTAACCCCTGCGCATTGCCGGGTGTGACCAAAAAAAAAAACTCTTTCCTGGAATACAAGATTGTGAAGTTTTTTATTATTATTATTAATTAATTACTTTTATAAAGTTGTTCATGGTTTATTACATTCAATATTCCAACACCAATCCCACCACCATGGCACCTTCCAACCACCATTATTTTTAATTTTCCCAATCACCCCTCAAGGCTGTCCCTATAGCAGACCATATATAATTTATTTTATATTGCTTGTTATAATTCGCTAAAAGAAAAATTTAAAGAAAGAAAATTTATTACCTTAGAAGAAAGTGTGCGAATACTGTTGTAGCTCACAGTGGAGCCATTAAGCCCTTGTAGAAGAGAATACTAACATGTTGTTACAGGTTAAGTCTTCTGTGTTTATATTTTCTTAAACTGGTTGCCTTTTACTTTATTTCCCATACAATGTGCTGCTCCTGGTTTATCAGGGTGTAGAGTTTGAGATGTTGTGGCTGTGGGCTTCAGGAATTCAAAAATTTTGAGTGGGGTGATGCAGATAGAGTTAAACTTTTGACTGAATGGTGACTTTGGGTGCCCTGTACGACTCAGCCTGGCACGGAATTGAATTGAATTGAATTGAATCTCTACAACTTGTTGATCTTTTTTGAGATTTATTTATGAGTCTCTGGCTCATGGCTGGTTAATGTGCTTATTCGGCGCCAGAGGCAGTTCATGGGCATGACTGAAAAAAGCTTCTGGAAGAATACAGAGATGGCGGTAGGTAGCCTATCTCTGACTCCATGAGAGCTTGGGAGTGTGGAGTCTTGTGCATGAGATCTGGGCCTACAGAATAATAAGACACAGACAGTAAGAAAAAAGCTAACTTTTAGAAGCTGTTTTCAAAAGTCAGTATGTAAAAAGGAATTTCTAGGGACTGGGCAGATGCTATGGGTGTTCAGGCACTTGCCATGCACTTGCGAAGCCAAGTTTGACTTCAACACTGCATATGTGCCCAGAGCACAAGTAGCCCCTGAGCACAGACCCTGGAGCACTGCCAGATTTAGCCCAATGTGCCCCACCCCCAATATTGTGTTAACATAAAGGTCGGAATGCTTTTATAAATGAATTTCTATACACTGTTTATCATGGTTCTACCTCACTGATGTCCTATTAGCTATTTTTATTAAACTCTTTTAAAAATTGAATAAGCATATATCTCACAGCCACCACTATGTCTACTCACCTGCCGGCCCTGTCCACAGATTCCTAACTAAATCTCAGAGAAGACGAAAGTGCAGCTGCTAAGATTCAGATGCTCCTGACCACCAGATGGACACTGTGAGGCGTCCTCGGAGGGAGGCTGGGCCACACATAGCAGCCATACTCACACCCCACAGCCACTGCAAAGCCAACAGCCCAACTCCAAGGCCTCACGATTCATCTCTAGGGGACACCAAACCGCAGACATGCCAAGGACACAGGTTTTCAGGCTAAAAACTTTGGGGGTCTGCTCGGAGTGGGAGTGAACAACCTCCCCTCACCCCCATACTTCCAGAAGTCCTGGAAGCCACAGCCACAGCCACTGACCAGTTCGACAGACCCTAAAGTTCCTAGACCACACAGCTGCATATGTGGCCCTGGGACACCTCCAATTTCCACAATGCTGACATCCCGTTAGGAGCACACCAAATGAGATGGGAAAGGAATACAGAAGCCAACCAAACTCAACAAACAAAAACAATGATAGAGAAGGCTAAAGTAGCAACAGACAGCTTAGTAAATTCACAGATAAGGACTTAATGATCCATGGTAAGATACAAGAATTTTTACAAAATTTCTTTACGAAAGCATTTTTTTTTTATAGTTCTATTTGTCATTTAGTTGTAACAGGCAGACTGAAATAAATTCTTTTGTGTCTGCTAAAGGGACAGGCTTGAGGGGGTGGTTGGAAAAATGGGGACAATAGTGGAGGAAAAGTCACTCTGGTGGCGGGATTGGAGTTGAAACATTCATGCCCATAACAACTGTATCATAAACAACTTTGTAAACCACAGTGTTTAAATCAAATAATTGGACGAACTGGAAATCTTCCCATTAGTTTCTACAAGACTAACATTACCCTGATACCAAAAAAAGGAAACATCACACACTTATAATAAACACTGATGTAAAAATCCAATGAAAACTTAGCAAACCAAATTTAGCAACACGTTAAAAGGATGTAACCAATTTCTATGTTCATTACAGCATTATTCATTATATCACTGTATCGCTGTCATCCTGTTGTTCATTGATTTGCTCTAATGGGCACCAGTAACATCTCCATTTGTCCCAGCACTGAGATTTTAGCAGCCTCTCCTTACTTGTCCTTCCCAACGGTGCTGTATTAGAGGCTCTTTCAGGGTCAGGGGAATGAGACCCATTATTGTTACTGTTTTTGGCATATCGAATATGCCACAAGGAGATTGTCAGGCATTATTCACACTGGTCAAAATCTGAAAACAATCCAAGTTTCCAATAAGAGATAACTGAATAAAGAAATGACTTTACATATATACACAGGGTAGGTAGGACTCTTGATTGCACAACCCGAGTTAGATCCAAGTGTTCCACATTCCAGGAGTCTTCTGTGTGCACAGAGCCAGGACTAAGGCCTGAGCACTCCCTGGGTGTGGCCCAAAATAAAGCAAACAAACAAAAAATTCACCATCAATTAGTGATAAATACAACCAAAAAGATTCAACATCTAATAGTAAATACAATTAAAGAAACTTAACTCAACAATTAAAGACCATCTACAACAAACCCATAGTTAAAACCATACTAAACAGTTGAAAAACTAAAAGCTTTTCCTTTCAAATCAGACATAATGCAAGGGTGTTCACTCTCACCATTATTATTTAACATAGCATTGAAAGTCCTAATCACAACATTTAGTCAAGAAAAATAATTCAAAGGCATTCAAATTTGAAAATAATTAAAACCATCAATATTTGCAAAAATGTCATGATAATATACACAGAAAACATGAAACACTCCACACAAAAACTACTGGAAACAATAAAACAGCACAGCAGATTAAAATCAATATACAAAAGTTTGTTGCATTTCTAAAGGCAAGCAGTGAAATAGAAGAAAAAATAAAATCAGTAAAACAATTCCATTAAAAAAAAATCACGTAACTAAGAGTCAAGTTAACAAAGGAGGTAAAAGACTAACCAAAAATTTTAAATCACAACTTTTTAAAGACACAGAAGATGCAAATTAATGTGGAAAATACTACATGTTCATAGACTTGGCAGAAACAACATCATTAAGACAAAATCCAATCAAAAGCATGATACAGATTCAACACAATCCCTATAAAAACTCTGTTGGCATTTTCCAAGACATGGACCAAACTTGATTGCTTAAAGCCACATACCTCCTCCACTAATAACAAAGGAATCCAAAGGGGTTGGAAGGGAGGTATTGCGTTTGTTGACTTAAAAGTTTTAGTTTATTTTTTTATTTTGGGGTGACACATAACAGTACACAGTTACTCCCAACTCACTGCTCAGGGGCTGCTCCCAGCAGTGCTTGGAAACCATGGGATGCCATGATCCATCCTGGGCCTCCCCATGAAAAGCATATGTTCCAGTCCACTGAGTTATCTCTCTAGCACAGTTTTCCCTGGCTTTACACAACAAAGCTATAGATATCAAAGTGGTGAGGTTTGGGGAGGGAAACTGACCCTCAGAATGGTGGATTAGAATTCAGAGCCAGGAGAATTCAATGTGGGAGGAAGTCTTTTGTAATGATTGCTACTTGGAAAACTGATTAGGCACACACATAAAATTGAAACTATACCACTATCTCACACCATTCATAAAAGCAACTCAAAGTGAATTAATGACTCCATTAGACCTGATTCCTAAGATACACTGAATGAAACTTAGGCAAAACACTCAATAGTGCCTCCAGTGGTGTCATCAGGGATTCACCTCCACTGGCAAGGAAAACATAAGTAAAAATAAACAAACGAGATTACAACAAATAAAAAAAACTTGTACGCTGCAAACCAAACTATCACAAACATATGATACCCCACTGAGTGGGAGAACATATCTGCGCAACACATATCTGAGAAAGGGCTAGTATCCGATATACAGAAAGCACTCACAAATTTAAAAAAAAAAATGAACCCCATAAAAACAAAGCAAACTGCTGAAGAGATATTTAGATATTTCTCCAGCAAAGATGTACAGATGATCAACAGGAGCATTAAAAAATGGTCAGCACCAGGGGCTGGAGCCATAGTACAGCAGGTAAGGCATTTGCCTTGAATGCGGCCAGTGTGGGTTTGATTCCCAGCATCCCATATGGTCCCCCGAGCACCGCCAGCAGTAATTCCTGAGTGCATAAGCCAAGAGTAACTCCTATGCATCGCTGGGTGTGACCCAAAAAACAAAACAAAACAAAAAGTCAACATCACTCTGTACATCTGTGTACACACACACACACACACACGCACACACACACACACACACTAAGGAACTAAGGAACTTCAACTCAACAAATCTACTTGCCAGGGAGCTATAAAAGGTCATAGAAAGGTACTGACTGTGTCCTGTAAAGTAGAAGGGGAGCTGTGTAAGGGACTGTTCCAACAGAAAGGGCCTCAGGGCCGAGTTGACAAGATAACTCAAAGGGCTAGTGTGCATGCTTTGCATGATAGAGACCCAGGTCTGACACCAGATACCCCATGGTACCCCCCAATTCCATAGGGAGTGATCCCAAGCAATTCGGTGAAGAGCCCCTGAACACCACCAGGTGTGGTCCAAAAAACAAAACAAAAACAAAAAATCAAAAAACATCAAAAACATCAAATAGAAAGGGTCTCTTACCCAGACTGGATGTGTGAGAAGAATGAGGTGTCAAAAAAGGCCTCTTGGAGGCAGGAACATCACCTGAAGGATGAGGAGGCAGCGACAGTGTTAGTTAGGCAGCAGAATGAACAGCAGGAGGCATCAAACTTGAGTCTTGGGGAGGACAATACAACAATTAGGATCTGGCATTGAGTCTGTCTTTTGACACTGCTAGCTCTCATTTTTCTTAATGACTGAAATGAGGTGGTTGTATCAGACATGCATCAGAGTCATCCTGGAGTTCTCTCAGAAATATTGAGCTCCTTTTCTTCTGAGGGGTAACTGCTGTTTCAAAAATCCTAATTATACCCCCCACCTCCAAAATATGGTTCAAATTAGTGAATCAGTAATCAGCTTTTTTCAAAAGCTTTACTGGCATTGCTAATCTACAACAGGTCTGAGAACAACCAGATGAGATGATGTCTCAAGTCTGTCTAATTCTCAGTCCTGAGGGTACAATAACACCCAATGGTGAGCATTTATACCCCAGAAGAGGAATCTGTCTGATTCTCAATTCTTAAGAGTGTGAAATATCATCCCAGCAGAGCCCCCAAGCATCACTGGGTGAAACCTAAAAACAGAAAAAAAAAATCCAAGTGCAGAACATTCCAGACAAACCAGAATCATAGTGGGGTAGGAGTAGGCTCCAGGAATCAGGATTTTTTTTCAGTTCCCTGGCTGATTCTTAGGTGTAGCCAAGGCTGAAAAACCACTACTTTTGGCCCTTTCAACACTTCTATAGTTACAACCAAGGAATCACAGAGAACATCGAAGAAAAAGAAGCTGGTGGGTTTCTTTCATTTCTATGCTAAATTTAGAAGAGAATGGAGTCGCAAAGGCCACTCAGCCATTTTAAGTGGGGTTGAACCGAAAACAGTGTTGATTCTGGCCACAAGCATAATAGGTATTAATGTATAGCAGGCAGAAAATATTCATTCCAAAGTGCACAGTTCTAAATTTAAACTTCAATCCTGTATATCTATGAAATTGCTCCACGTGTGTTCTCTGAAATATGCAGTTAGAATATGATCTGCATGGTTCACTGTAATATGAAGATTACTACTTCCCAGGTTGTAACCACTCATTAGGCAATGGTGAACCAAATAAATAATAACAAGACCACTTCAGACCATTTTTTGAATCTGTTGCTAAATTATATGTTCCTGTCTCAAAGCCCACAACATGGCCACAAGCACCGAAGTAAAAAATATTTACATTTGTGAAAGTCTCTTTCCATCGGATTCTGTAGGTAAGCAAGGGCTGCTCTGAAGCTTCTTCCAATTTTCGGTGAAAACCGAAACTTTTCATTTCGATTATTTCTTACATCTGGGTAAATAAAGCATTACCCCCATGTTGTTAGAAATCTTAGGATAAATTGAACTTTCCAGGGGTCTGGAAAGGAAAAACAGCTCAGACGGAGTGCTCATTTTCTAAAGTGAGCCATCAATGAAAGTGATTCTTCAGAAAAAGAACATCTGCACCTTGGCACAGCTTATAAAATGTCAGATGATACCTATGGCTAAAAGCCTCGGCTGTGGCACTCAGAGGGACTGAAAAATCCAATGTGTGGACGGCTCTAAATCTTGATTAGCAGGAATACTGCTCCCATCCCGTTAAAAAACTGGCCCCTCTCCAAAGGACGGGAGCGGCCAGGATTCATGTCCCACAGCGGGCACAGAAATAGCAATTCTTACGGGAAAAACCATTCTGCTTAGCTAAAATTAGTCTGCGCCTGTTAATGATTCGGAGAGATCTTTCTTCCTGGGGAGGACAGTTAGCGAGAGGTGAACTGATTTGCCAAGGGAACCCCCCTTTCACGTTAGACAGAAGAGGAACTGGCATACGGTCAAGGACTCAACCACTTTCCACATCCCTAATGAAGACCAGTAGACAGAAGGGCAGGAAATGAAGACTGTCCTCACCAGTCAGAGGCAATTTCATGAAGTGGCCTGTCACTATTCTTTCCAGGGAATCCACTTCCATGGTCTATACTGGGAGGAGAGGAGAGGGGCTAGAAGCCATCTAAATGCCCAACAACAGGTAACTAACAAAATCTGGTACATTCACAATGGAATACTAAAGGTAAAGGTAAAGGCCCTCCCGTTGATCGTCGATTTGCTCGAGCGGGCCCAGTAACGTCTCCATTGGAGACTTTGTTGTTACTGTGTCTGGCATATCGAATACTCTCGGTAGCTTGCCGGGCTCTCCGAGAGGGGCGGAGAGAGGCCCAAACGAGGCAAGAGTCCAAGTCAGTCTGTGGAGCACATGCTTTGCAGGCAGGAGTTCTGATCCCTGCACGTGGTCCCCGAGCAGTAACAAGCATCACACCCATTCCCAGTCATCTCTTAACTGAGTCCCTGAGCACTGTGGGGTGTGGCTCAAAAGCAATGAAAAATAGAAGTAAAAGAAGGTCAATACAGAGTTTACACATGTTGAAAGAGATCTGTGTTCTGTAGAATCTACCACTGCCTGCATGCCATAGAGCAAACATGTGTGCTCTACATTCAGTAATGTCTGAATTCTCTCACTAGCTGGAAGACCAATTTTTTTGTTTCTTTTTAGTACTAGCCTACGCATTTGAAATAGAATTTTAAACAAATTATCATTTTATTTATTGTTTGGAGACATACCCCAGGCTGTTAAGGGCTTACTGCTGGTTCAGAACTCAGCGATCACTCATGGCAGGGCTCAGGAGAGACCATGATGTTGGGGGTTGAGCCGAGATGAGCTGCATTCAAGACAAGCATCCTGATTTTTGTCCCATCTCCCTAGCCCCTGAGTATTATTTAAATTGATGTGATAAAATAAGTTGTTTTCTCAAACTTTGTACTCCTCTAACTCCTAGTGGCCCAGAATGTGAGTACGTTTGGACACGAACCTCTAAGTGAATGAAGTTAAAATGAGGCTCTTTGAATGGTCCTAATACAACCTGACTACAGAGCAACAACCATGTGATGACACAGCATGAAGCTGGTGTGTGTGCAGGCCAAGGAGAAAGGCCTCAGAAGAAATCAAACATGCAAACATCTTGACATTGGACTTCTAACCTTCAGAAGTATGAGGAGCAAATTAAAGTCATGTTTCTAAGCTACAATATTTTGTTTTGGAAGCCAAGTCTCAATGGGTGAGAAACCCACTTGGTGGGTACATCTGCTACGATGTACTTGTATACAGCCTCCTGTGGCGCATAAAGAAACTGGGGCTCTTCATCCTTCTAGACAGTGCTGGCCAGTGTTATATCATTAAGTAATCTGACCAAGAGCTGGAGCAAGTCCAGACTCTTTCTTTTCAAAACACATATCTTTTAAGGCATTTTGAACAAAACTAAAACTCCAAGGACCAGAGCCCAAAATATCTTCTTAATATCTCTTAAAGGCATGGTTTCTATTAAAGAGGCAACTAGTAAAGAAAAAGTTGTCACGGCAATATTATCAACTTAAAAAACACTTTTAAGAAGGTACTGGCAGAGGGACAAAGCCACGCGGGTTCCGGGGCTGAGATCTCCAAGCCTACTTGGATTGGAGTCGAGCATCCTCCACCCAGATCCTCCAAATTCCAGTAGGCGGGGGCCACACCCACCACCTGGCCCCCTGGCGCCCTGTAATCCCATCAACGGCCAACACTCAGAGATTATAAAATCCAGCTCCCGGACGAGACCAGTGCAGTCTCCTGCCCCTGCGCCTGGCTGTTCCTTGCCAGGGTCCCTTGGAGGGGAGCGGGTTGAGCTTTCCTCCCCGCCCCGACCAGGGCTCCAGCAGCCGAAGACCTCCAGGACCAGCCACCACCATGCTGAGACCACTCTCCGCACACATGAAGGTACTGGCAGAGGGACAAAGCCACGCGGGTTCCGGGGCCGAGATCTCCAAGCCTACTCTGATTGGAGTCAAGCATCCTCCACCCAGATCCTCCAAATTCCAGTAGGCGGGGGTCACACCCACCACCTGGCCCCCTGGCGCCGTATAATCCCATCAACGGCCAAGACTCAGAGACTATAAAATCCAGCTCCCGGCCGCGCGACATTTTATCAAGACATCTTTTTTATGACATCTTATTATCTCATTCCTACTTTGGACAAACTTGCAGGCTATCGAATGTAGCCTGCCCACAGGGCAGAGTCTGGCAAACTCCCCGTGGCATACCAAATATGCCAAATACCAGTAACATTGATGGGTCTCATTCTCCTAAAGAGTCTTGAATATAATCTCAGGGCTAGGATGAAAGAGACGTTACTGGGGCCTGCTCGAGGCAATTGACGAATAACAGGATGATGAATGAATGAATGAATGAAAAAACACTTTGTGCTATACTATTAAAAAACAATCCAGAAAAACCAATTCTGTCATACGTGTATATCAGCATAATATACTTTATTAAACAGTAAAGTAAGTAAAGGCCCTCCCCTTGATCATCGATTTGCTCGAGCGGGCCCAGTAACGTCTCCATTGGAGACTTTGTTGTTAGTGTTTGGCATATCGAATACATCACGGGGAGCTTGCCAGGCTCTGCCGTGCGGGCGAGATACTCTCGGTAGCTTGCCGGGCTCTCTGAGAGGGGCGGAGGAATCGAACTCGGGTCGGCCATGTTGGCTGCGTGCAAGGCAAATGCCCTACCGCTTTTCTATCGCTCCAGCCCTACTTTATGGTCTCAAATTATAATGCAATAAAAGTATGGTAGTCCAAGACTAAAATTTGTTTACAAAATTTTATAGATTTGTATAGGTCAATCAATCCTTCCTTTTAAAATTAGTATTTATATATCAAAGATTTATCATCACTGCAGATATTGTTTCTAGAAATCTAAAATCAGATTTTTTGCCTAGAAATCTATAACCTATAGATTAAGTTAAGGTCTATAGTAGGTTAAGGTCCAGCGAATGAGTGGGTCAGGAAGGTGGTTCAACATGTAAGACAGCTTGCACACAGCTGGCACGGGTGTGGGCCTGGCACCACATACGGTCCTGTGAGCTCGGCAAAAAGCTCCAAGCACTGGCTAGGTCTTTAATGAAGCACATGAAAAGACCAAAACAAAGTTAAATATCCAGT